CCCCAAAACCCCAAAACCCCAAAACCCCAAAACCCCGTACTTGATAAATTGTGAAAGTACATAGAAATAAGCACAAACTTTGAAATTCAATAGTGTGAGTAAGAATAACTCATTTTTCAGATGATCATCTTTAAATTGAAGTAGCTAAAGAGATTGAAGTTATTTTTCTTGTGGTTTTTGCAGGTAACTCCGTCGAAGTCAGCATCAGTGAAGTCTTTATATGAATGACCTTCAGGAGTATTGATAATGAGTGGTGAATCGAAAGAAACCCATTTCAATTCTTTGCACTTTTGACAGAAATAATGGTCTCGTTAATAACAGACAAGTGGAAAGCATAGAGCATGTCCTCTCCAGTCCAGCGAAGAGTCTTTTCTCCTAGATATTGAGTAAGACCTGATGATTGGTTCTTGAATTTGTAGGAGAAATCTGTAAGGTTGAAGTCAGCTGGGAGATCAGTGGTGTCGCATAGTGATTTTTCAATCTTTGAAATCTTTGTGTATTACTTTTGGAGAGCAAAGTCACTGAATTAAATTACTGCAGATAATTCAAGGCCTAGCACATATGTGAGAGTAATCACCTTTTGTCTGTTTAAGGTGCCAGCGAATAGATGTCATGTGTGGTGTTTTGGTATGACTTTAAATCCTTTACAGCTTAATCGAATGTGTAGACAGCACCATTCATTTAGTAGTCAAGTGGCCAGTGTACCTCAGGCCAGTCATCTCTATTAGATTAGACTCTTGTACTCGAAAATTGTTATTAAGAACAACGAATGGATTGTAGGCTAGAGTGCAAGTAGCAGCAATGGTAAAACCAAGAAGTGTTTTTGCATGAATAGATCTCATTAGTTCTATTGATAGTTATATTAGATACTATAATCATTATGATGAAAGATTCATTTAAGTTGGTATTTCAATAAATAAACACTAATTAGAATATTGTAATATTGGTTAGGATTTATTGGTGTGATTAGTCTAATTAAATTATTTGCAATTTATCAGCTAATTCAGAGATCAGGGGTTTTGGGGTTTTGGGGAGATCGGAAGAGCACACGTCTGA